GATACCGTACTGATGGAAGCCTATTCAATCTAAGGCGTCTGAAGGCCCACACCAAGACCTTAAACCATCTTGTCCGGGAGCTGCTCTATGCTGATGACGCCGCCCTTGTGGCCCACACAGAAGCAGCCCTGCAGCGTTTAACATCCTGCTTTGCAGATGCTGCTGAGCTCTTTGGGCTGGAAGTCAGCTTAAAGAAGACAGAGGTCCTCCACCAACCTGCACCTCAGGAAGTCCCCCATCATCCCCACATCACCATTGGCCAGTCAGAGCTCAAATCAGTCCAACAGTTTAATTACCTCGGTAGCCTCATCTCCTCAGATGGTAAGATCGACGGAGAGATAGACAACAGGTTAGCAAAGGCATACAGTGCTTTTGGAAAACTCCACAAAAGGGTATGGCGTAATAAACACTTGAAGAAGAGCACCAAGATCAGTGTTTACAAAGCCATAGTGTTGTCTACTCTCCTATATGGTTCCGAAACATGGGTCATCTACCGCCACCACCTGCGTCTCCTAGAACGCTTCCATCAACGCTGCCTCCGTTCAATCTTAAACATCCACTGGTCAGATTATGTGACCAATACATCTGTTCTAGAGCAAGCAGATATCACAAGTATTGGGTCCCTTCTAACTCAGGATATTTTGACTCTTCAGTCCTCACCTCCCTGAGGAATCTACTCCTCACTGTGATACCTGAGGAAGTTGTGAAACATATTCTGTAAATACACTTACCAAAAGTCACTGATACCTGTGCATTGTCATCACCTTGCAGCCAGTAAATATTTGTTCCAAGCTCTTACTCGTTAATCCTGCCTCCTTCCATTGAACATCGGTGTGGAGTGACCAGCAAAAAGGTACAGATGAACTACACAGGTATTTGAAGAAAATATGGCAATTCCTGGCTGGGCGGAGACTGAGATGAACAGAATAGTTTTCACCTTCTCCCTTTATTCTCCAGCTGTAAATCGTCCATGGCCTCTGAAGAATAATTTCTCCAATATGTCTCAGTTGTTGAAAATGTCTACTATGAATTCTCTGAAAAGCCTTGTAATTTCATAAAGTGTTTGTTGCTTTTCCCACAGCTCTTTTCTTTAATGTTTAATAACTAAATAAGTATCATCAGTAGTATGGACATAGCTCCCACCGGATTTGTAAGCAAACAAAGAAGGGAAATTTAGCTTCATCTATGTAAATGAGCCCTTATGCTATGCAATACTATAGACACTAAGGAAGTTGTGCTAGCAAAACTCTTTATAGAAGGCAATTTTTCTTGATGTAAGAAAGAAAAACGAAAATGGAATAAGGGAATATGAGGGCACATTTACCCCTTTAAAAGGTTGCAACCATAAAACCTGTGCTTAATTCAAAACCTAGATCCAAAGAGCAGTAAGCCAAATATTAAAATAAAGTTTATTTGGCAGTAAAATTATGAATTTTAAGAGTGCAGTGAATTGTGTGCCTTGTATATACATATTAATCAAAAAACCTTTTGGTTAAACTAATTTTCAAGGTATGATTCAAAGACTCAAAAGTAGAAAACAACCAGGATAGGCCAGAATGAATGATTTTTGAGTACTAAAACCCAGGGTTCAGAACATTATGTAGACTAATTCAGTACCTGTAGTGTCAGCTAAAGACTGAGGAAAATAGCTTGTCTGGTGAAAGAGACTTTCCATTAAAGACTCTATATTGTAATAAAGATATTTATGATAAATGTGGTATTTTCCCTGTTTCTAAACTTTAAAGTAGCATCCCCACAACAAGGTTTTGACATCAGACCATCAGTTGTCTGAGTAGGTTGAAAAAATAAAGTGTACCATAACCATCATGTTTATCAGAGAAGAAAAACCTCCACTTGCTTTTAGTTTATCAAAAGACAAAATAGTTGATGACATTTATTTTGTGTTTACTTTCTTGTCTTTCTCACTCACCCTCATGTCTTGTTCCTGGATACATAAATATATTGTTTCATGTACTTTTTCACAGGCACTTGTCTGTGATCTGTTATAGCAATCTAAAAGGCAATCTCCTCTGATAGCCTTTCATATATTCTTTTGAACATGCAAACATTGAATGAAGGTGCTAATGTCATTTACATGCCTAGCTCTCATTGTTGATTCAGCTTTGCTTTTGGAAAAAAGTAGATTCAGTACTGAGACGTCTTAAGTAAAGTTATGTCTTGCTCTCCCATTTTTCTTCCACAGTAATGCTCTGTCTCAATTAGATAAACAATCAGGATTGTTGTCCTCTGATGGACAGGACTTCTGCCATTTTCTCTTTAAAATGCTGGAAGACATTTATCCTTACAGACTTCTCTGTGCACAATTGTACTTAACTGGTAGTTGGAATAGAATAATTTACATGTGTTCAAAGGCAGTGAAGCATGTGGGTGAGCATGCCTTTCAAAGTTCATGTCAGCTGAAAGACAAATATCTTCAATGGTAACGATGGTCTGAATGCATTTATAATCAATTGCTGCTTCTTCATACTTTTTGCACTTGCCTGAAAAGTCTGTAGATTAGATGTCTGTTAATTGAAGATTCAGAGGGGATTTTAATGTGGAGTCAACATTACTGACATATCCCAAAGGAAACTGTAATAGTGATTCCATACATATAAAAACAGCCTATCAATGCTGAATAAAACATTTTCAACTGCTATAATTTACTTTCACAGAAAAGCTGTCTCCTATGTGAGTAAATAATCTCTTATAATAAACTCCAGATGTCACCCAGATAATGGGTTCCAAAAGACAAGTGATTGTTTTTCAGTGCAGACACTCCCAGGTTTTATTGGATCCTGACATTTTCAAGTATGTTCCAACTCCAAATTTCATTCTTTGTACTGTATTCCCATTAAAACTTTGACAGTCATGATTTTCTTTTACATTTTTAGTTCCTTGGTCTAAACAATTATAGGTCCTCATAAACTGAGATGACAGAATCCTGAAAGAGATCTAATTAGATCACAAACATCTCATGATCTGAAGAAATTTGGACCCTTGTCCAGAGACCTATTGATGTCCAAACCGAAGATATAAACCTGGCTCCAAGAAGAATTAAGAAAGGACTTTTTGAGATGATTGTTAAAACCATGTCTAAGCCCCTGTAATCCCTCTATCCCCCATGTAATCCTACTAGAAGAAAAAATTAACTATTTGGAAATTGCAGTAAAAACTTGTGTAACTCCCCAATTATCATAGGTTGTCCCCTTCATTAACATGTCCAGCCCCAGATGCCTTTAAAATTGTGTTCTCATGTTCAATAAAGGATTCCAGTTCCCCCACACTGGGATTGTGTCTAGCTTTTATTTTTCAGACCGCCATTATCTTATCCTTTTATTAATTTAAAAGCCCAAGCAGCAGTCTACAGTCTCATTCAAATCACATCATGTATGGAAAAACCTCGGTATTAAGAGGCCCTGTTACTATTATATTAAGACGGTCACAAATTAATAATATTTTCTACCAGCTAGTAGCACAAAAATTCTAGTATAAATTTCAAAATTATACATAGACTACTACATAGCTTTTCATATCATTCTTGCTTTAGCAGTCATCTACCTATCCAGTACAAAATGCAAAACTATTAATGGAATTAAAACTAAATTTATTAAAATACTGTTTAATTTAAAATAGCTCCACATCCAAGTTGTAAAAAGGAAAATCTCTTTTATCCCTTGCTTTGATGAATTTAGTCTGTGCTCTTCTAAAAATGATCAAATTGAGCAGAGAACCCCATGAATCCTAACGCAGCACTCTGAGTGATGTCCTTAATGAATACAGCATGCGGTATTTAGGCCACCTTGAGGACAACTGCTTCCATCTAGCTACTTGTATCTTCAAACAGCTTTTTAGTCAAAATATACTGTGGGTCAGCTATTGAAGCACTCATCTAGTTACAGCTCCTTCTATGAAGCAAATTAAATTTGCACATTTTGCCATGTTTGAGAGTATTTCTATCAATAGAAAGAGTTTGGTTTGGTTTATTTGTTTTAAAATTATTTTACTTTACTATTTATTCTATTTGTTGCTACTATTATTCTGATAGTTTTTTTGGAGGAAAATTGATGTGAAAGAAAGAAGCAAGGCAAAAATCATATGCCATGTGAAAATAATATTTATATATGGGCTAGAAATAATTATAATTTCAAATAATTTTCTCTCCTGTAACTTGTGCGGTCCGTAGCATATAACTGCAAATCACTTCACATGTAGTTTCGTACTACCATCAGAGATGAAGCAACAGCATCTTCCACCATCTACTTCTTGTCAGTGTATCCATATTTCTCCTTCCATGTAACCAATTTTACTGTCTTTTTATTTGAAACTTCACTCACGTGGACTAATACAGCTTCTGCACCTTGGATTGATATGACTGTCTCAATCAAACAGGTATTCTCCACCCAAAAACGGAAATGTGATAGTGTGATCATATGATTATGCAGACGGCACTTTGCGATTCTTACTGTATTGATTTTACAATGAAATTTACATTTTTACATGAACCTTGGTTTCCAGTAAAACGTAGTAGTAGCATTTCAGAGGTACTAGAGAATCATAAAAAGTAGAGACAAGTTCTATTACACAAAATTCCCTTTGAAGTTACCTCACGTTTTGTCTGTTAGTTTTAAGACTCTTGCTTCAGCAGTCCTGCAATCAGTTGAAAATCACTATAATATTAGAGGAAGTTTTAAGTTTTGTGCTGCTATTGAGTTTCATACCTACAACTGAATTTCCTTTATTGTGAAGCTACCATGGCACATTATGGGTAATCAACATTTTAAAGATTTAGTAAAATATAGTGTATACCTTTTTCTCTGTGCTGCCTCCCTTCTTTTTTGTAATGGTATCTTTTTCATCAGAGAGAAAAATATTCAGCCCTTCTTTTAATGAGTTTAGACAAAGAGTTTTCCATTTATCAAGAAGAGACCTATGCAAAACCCCTTGCAGAATCTGTGCAAAAACAACATGGTGGGAGATCTGTTCATTAAACTGTGAAAGACGTGCAAGAGGTGATATACTCTCTAGTGCACCATTTTCTGCTGAAGCACGTGTACCTTCAGATGGGTCAAGCTGTTAAGAGTCATTGCTACTTGAACTGTGAAGGAGTCAGATTGGAAAGACAGGGAGTAAGGATGGTAACCCATCAGATGTTGCTGGTAGAAGGTGTTTCTGGAGACATGGTCATTGCATTACCTCAACTGCCAGATTTGGTTCCTCCTCTGTAAGCTGAAAACTCAAAACATTTGCAGACTTTTTCTGTGAAGAGAAATATAAACATATAATCAAAATATAAACTGTGTTATTAGTTTAGAAGTGATGTTAGAAATCAATAATTAATAAAATGTGGTATTGTATATACCTTCTCAATAATTTCCTGATTTATAAGTGAATTCTACTGGTGGCTCTGGCAAGCTTATAGGTCATGGAATAATAGAAGCATTAAGGTTGGAAAAGACCTCTAAAATCATGGGGTCAACTGTCAACCCAGCACCACTGCGTTTACACTAAACCATATCCCCAAGTGACACATGCACTCATTTTTTTAAACACTTCCAGAGATGATGTAATGCCACCTTTTTCTTTTTCATGACTTCCCTGGGCTGTTCAAATGCCTGACCACCCTTTCAGTGAAGAAATTTTTCTCGATATCTAATCTTTTATCAGACCCTTATGGTTCTGAGTAGCTATAAAGATACATTTCAGGGCAGGATATAATGCTTATTAGCAAGAAGGACAAATGTTGCTGTCACCTGTTGCTACTAAATTTCCTGTTAGAAGAAAGAGATCATAAGCAGCACTCTGGTGCATTTCACTTTAGTTAGTGCATTTCAACAGTCTAATGCTTATCTAGGCATTTTATTTTCCAAAATAAGTGTTAATCTTTCAGTAGATCAGTTACTTAGGTAAATATGCATACAGCTCTATTCTTCACAATTTTATCACACTGCATAGTGTCTATATTGGGCTTCAGTAACATCACCTGAAGACTGTGATGGTTTAAAAGTTAACCAGCAGGGGAAATGAACTCAACTCAAAAGAGAGATTATAAGTCAGAATAACAATTTAATAAAATAATACAATAAGTATGATTATACAGACAAACAATTGGTCTTAACCCACAAAACCCAAATGTATAACCTAGCACCCTGGGGCATGAACAAAGTGGTGTTCCTTGGGCCCCCCCTGAGTCCAAAGTGAAGGGAGAGGGGAAAAACCTGCTAGTGGGAGAGCTGTTGCAGTCTGGTCAAAAGTGGTGATTGCAGTCCAGTTGAGGGTGGTGGTCTCAGGCTGGTTGAGAGCGGTGAGCTGCAGGCTGGTTGAGAGTGGTGAGCTGCAGTCTTCCTCTGGATCCCATGAGTGGTAAAAAGGTTCCAAAACTCCAAGTTTATATATTCTCCAGTTCAGGCAGGAATGCTCAGTCCTTCCCTCAGAGCAGGGAATTCCGTAAAAGGGTGTGAGGACAGGAACATCTTCCTATCTCACAGGCCTCTTAACACCCAGTTTATAGCCTGAGGAGTCAGGCTGCTCTGGGCAGAGGTTGTAAACGGTCTATTGATAACAGTTTCTGGGAAATGGCATGGAAGGCTATAGAATACACAGTTTTGGGTTACACCCATCCAGTGATGAATTGGTCCCAGCTGTTCTAAATAGGACAAAGACTTCAGAATATTCACCATGAGTGAAGAATGTCAGTCTTCATCAGCTGTTTATTTGGGAAGTAATTATTATGTAAAGTTTACCAATGTATGCTACTGAGAAAATCTGAAAATGGAATCAGTCTGTACATGTCTATTTGAATATGACAGCTACATTAGGAAAATATAACCTGTAGTCTGAGGTAATCTTGGCATTCAGGCCTGTAGGTAGGTGAAAAGTGGCTGATTAATACTGTGTATAAATTTTCTACGTGAATATCAGCTCAGATTTTTATACAGAGTATTTCATACTTGAAGATCAGTGCCTGTGAAATACAGCATTAAAATATGTTAAAGAAAACCGTATCAATGTGGCAAAAATAAGCAAGGTTTAGACTAAATTAAAGGTCAGTGTAAGGTCATCTCCAACACTGGTACCCTGCTTAAAGGCTGTGAGATGCTGTTGACCGGGCACTGTGTTGTGAAGAGCTGCCACACCAAGCCAATGTTGGCACAGGCTGCAGCCAGTTAGGTATGGTGTAGTCACCAGCTCTGTGTGAAGCTAACAGCATTGGCCTCAGGATTTTTCAGGCCTTGTCTGGGCTTCTCTTTGCCCACCTAAGGTTTTATTTTCTTTTGTTTAGGTAAATGTCAATGTTAAAAGAGTTAATGCTGTGTCAGAAGCAGTTCTGTAGTCAACCTACTATCAAAGCCTCATCATTCTCACAGCCTCCCTCTAGTGTCTCAGATGCACTCCTCAGTGGTGCTTTCCTTGATGAAGTCTGACTTTCCTGAGCAGTAGAAGCTTTTAAACACTCCTATAACAGATATTAAGGCTACTTGTCACTGCTTGTTTCTAAAAAAACCATGTGCGGGCTTCTGTTTCTTTACAAGTGAGAAAATTTATAAAGAATTCAGCATTTCGTTCCAAAGTTGTTGAACAACTTGGGCAAGCACAAATGGAATAGATGCTCTTACTGGACTCCTCCTAATGTGACTTCTCCTAAGGAAAATTATTGCAAACAGAAATTAACTCACTAATTGTATCTTGGAAAATTTAAAGGCTCTCAGAATGACTCATGATAGTTTTAAAAGGCCCTTAATGACAGCTCTGGAACTCACATCATGGTTAAGTTTAGTAACAAACATCTGACTTTTTCAGATACTGTTCTAAAGTATGTAAAATATCTTTCCCACAGATAACTGACTTTAATGAATAGTAAAACACCAGCTTGGTGAGACATTATGAACTAGTAAAAGCTTTTTTTTTTTTTTAATTTTACTTAGTGTTACTGTCATTTTTGTTGTAGTTATGAAGCATAAGTATGTTGCCAACAGAGTTCTGGCTGTCTTCATCAAGAATTCAATGACTTCTGTCATGAGAAATAAATCCAAGATAAACATATTAGATTTTGCAGTTAGGGAGATATTTTTATACTTATGGAGCTATACTTTCTATTTTTATACTTAAAAATAGGCTAGTGACCGTTAGCAGGATATTTGAGTGTATATACTCATTGTATACTCACTTGTGAGAAAACAGAGAAAAATGTAGTGGCACATTATTTTGATAGTAATATTTACTGGGCCCCTAAAGAGCTATAGCTAATTATCCTCCCTAAAAAAAAAAAAAAAAAAAAAAAAAGAGTATGTGCAGTATTTTTTACAAATAGATTGAAGTCCCTGGTATCTGGCAGAACTATCATCTGGGGGCTCTTTTCTTGTGACTTTACACAGAAAATTCAAAGCAGTCACAGAATATCAAGATTTTCAAATATTTCTAATTCTTCAAGGTGGGTATATATTTATATATGCATAGGTAGACATACATATGTCTGGTACCTGAGATGAACAGCTTGTAACTTACAGTTATTTAAACAATCTACGCTCATAATAGGAAGAGAAGAAGAATAGAGGAAATAAGAATGCGTATTTTATGACAAATAAAAATACTGAACTTTTGAGCATATATACATATGTCATGGAAATAAGTAATAATGCATTAACACAGGAATTGGTAAATTTCTTTAGGCTCTGTCCCTCCCAGAACATTCTGTAGCTTTGGATACCCACAAAGGGTGTGTGTATGTATGTATATATGCACATATGTTGCCTATCCCTTACTGCATTACATAAATGAATTATGTGGCTTTTATGTTATGCAAGAGCTTGTTATGCCAAGGGCTTTATTTGCATATTTTGTATGTGCATTGAATTACACTGACTATTTTGCCATTGTTGATCTGCTGAGGGGTAAAAATGATAAATGTTAATGAAAAATTCAATGATTGATACTACTAAATTCAATGGGAATTCTCTCTTACTCTTCATTGGGATCAAGATTTCAGCTTTAATTTTATCATGGGCAGAGTAAGTAATGTTTTATTATTCTCCAACTCACACAAATTCTTCTTTTCATTCTGTACTGCAGCAGTATTGATACCCAGAGTTTAAAGAAACTAATCCTTATAACTTGCAATTATTTCTCTCCTACTGAACTCAATTGCAAAGCTCTGAGCTGAGTTGAAAGTGACCCAGCTGAGAAATAGATTACAAGGAAGAGGAGAAGGAATTTTCTCATAAAAAGAACAGTGGTTCTGCATTAGAACACACATCACATTATTTCCATTGTATATACTTTGTATTTTTAATAAGCTGAGGAGAGGTTATTCCCAGAGAAACTGTAGGATGATACATCAATTTCTGTAAGGAATTTACAGAGTAGCTGTGCATCTCTTAAGCTTTCTTCTTTTTAAACTGCATGCATTTGGCTCTTTTGGGTTCCTCACATCTTTAATCTTTTCAGCATTCTTGTTACCTGCATTCAGAGCTTGCATGACCAGTGAAAAACAGAACGCAAAATTCTGTTTTCACCAGAGCTTGGCAAAGTCCTTAGTTGATTCCTCAGCTTTACATAAAACTTCCTGATCCAGTTAAGGCCTGCACAAAGCTGTTCAAGTCAGCTGGAAGAATCCCACTCAGTACCATGGGCTACATATCAAACTCTCTGTGGAGACATCAAAATGCAGATTATACTGTTGTTTTTTTTTTTCCTCAGCCAGTGTCTAATTGCAAACTCCTCTCTGAAAGCCCCATGCTGACATTCCTAAAATAAACATTTCCTCATTTATTGACTAGTACTAATTCCTTAGTCTGTTACTTTTGGAAACCAATTACATTGCTCAAATTTAAAGTTTTTATTTTCCGCTTAGAAAGACTGTTGACATACTAGAAAGAGTTCAGAAAAAATAGTCACAAGTACTATCCGACATCTGGAATATCCATTTTAGACTGAGCGATTATTTTGGTTAATACAGATTAATTGCTCCTGATCTGCAGAAACCTAAATGGGGATAAAATTCTTCATAGTAGCAGGCTCCATAGTATAACAAAATTTAATGCCTTGGAATTAGGTTCTAGGAAAACCTTAAATGCTTTTAACAGAGAAGGGAAGGAATCCTTGGAATTACTTACTTAAGAGCATGCACATTCTTAATTTAAAAGAGCTTAAATCAAGAGACACCCCATAACCTGTGCAGAGCTGTTGTCCTGTTGCAGGATTCATTTGATGAAATTCTATGACCTATATAATATATATGCATGAAATCCAGATAGGTTTTA